GCGGTCCTACGCTCACACGGCCGGGGCAGGGAGGGGTCGGGTTCCTGTGGCCTAGCCACGTGGGCGACGCACGCCAGGCCCTGGATCTGGGGTGGGGTCCGGCGGGAGCTGCGGCGTGACCTTGGGCTCCCCGACCTCTCTGGTCTGTCCCTGGGAGGGAGCAGAGGCCGGGACAGGAGCTGGCACCCGCCCTTCCCAGAAAAGAGACGCCTTGAGGGCAGGAGCTGGCACCTGTGCCAGGCTGATTTCGTGTACAGCTGCGCATCCAGGCCGGAGGCTGGCATGGGAGAGGTGGGCGCGGTTAGATGCCAGGGTTCTTCAGGGGGCCTCCTGGGCCAGGCAGGTGCGCTCAGGTATAGTAAGTGCCCACCGAAGTTGGCTGGAGTGCTCATGGCAACAGGAGTGCCAGCTGGTTCTGCGTAGCATCTTAGCCAGGCTGGGGGGCTGGGCCTTGGATGGGTGTGTGGCTGCAGCGGGCAAGGCCAGATGGGGAGGGGCATCCCCAGCTTCAGGCACTGGGACATTGGTTGCAGGGGGTGCTACTATGCCTGGCAAAGGGGCTGCTACTTGGGGACTGGGCAGCAGCTGTGTCCAAGGTGGTGCTGGCATGGCTGATCAGCTGACCCAGCAGGCCTTGCCTGGGGAGCCCTTATCCGGGACACCTTCCCTTCTACCGTCTGGCCATGAGCCCCAAGGGGCCATTGTGAGAACCCAGGTTACATCCTGTCCCCTCAGTGACCTGCAGGTGCAGGGGTTCAGGGAGCAGCTGGTGGGTGGGATGGGGTGATCTGGGACACCACAGCTGTCCCTGGCTGGGAGAATCCAACTGCGGAGCCACGTCCAGCCCAGCATGGCAGGGCAGCCCTAACAGAGCTGGGAGGCAGACAGGGGGACCCCTGATTCTGAGCCTTGATTTCCCCATCTTGCAGTGGGGGTTGGGCCTGGCAGAGGAAGGGGGAGGGAAGGGGCTTGGAGACATGTGTCAGACTGGCCTGGCCTGGGTGACTAGCAGCTCTGGGGCGGGGTCAGACGGTGGCTTCGGGGAAGGTGGACGGCCTCCAGGAAGATGGCATACACAGCCAAGGCCCGGCCACCCTGCAGCGACAGCACACAGGACAGAGGCCTTGCTGCTGGCTGTGGAAGGCAGGTGGCTCTGAGTCTACCCTGAGGCAGGTTCCCAGGAAGAAACCTAGGACTTTAGCTCAGACACTCAGCACCCACTGCTGCCCACTCTGAGGAAGGACCGGCATGGAGGGCGGTATTAGGACGGGGCTCGTCCCTGGATGTCCAGGTCACACTGGCTGGTGGCCGTGGTGCAGAGCCATCCTCCAGGTAGGGGGTCGGCAAGTGCATAGGACATGTCCCCGGCCTGCTTAGGCTGTGTGTCCGCTGCCCACCGGGAGCCTGTGGTGTGGAGCCAGGGCTGTGTGTTCCACAGATTCGCAGGGGCCTAGAGCTGGGCTTCCCCAGGTGGAACCGTGCTCGGCCTGCTGGGCCTGGACCGTGACCGATCAGGACCCTTGCCCGCGAGCAACCAACACAGCCAGCGTGGCCTTCGGCCTTCGGCCCCTTTGTGTAGAAAGCTGCCCTGCTTGGGCCAGGCCTGGGCATCCCCACACCTGTTCTGCCTGCCTCCACAGGTCACCACACAGGCAGGCAGGGAGGCTGGCCAGGCTCTGGCCAGGTGGTGAGGGCTGTGGGGCTGCAGGATGGTGTGGGGAGCTTAGGCCCAGGACCTATGGGCATGGGTGGAGGGGGGATGGCAGGGTCCTTCTGCTGCCCTCACCCTGGCTCCCAGGACGGCCCGAGTGCTTCCTGCATGGGTGGCCACTGCCCGGCCCTCCCTAGCCTTCCCACCTCCTCGAGGACCCTGCCGGGAGGACTGGGAGCGGGAGCTGCGTGGGGTGTGAGGTGTCCACAGGCCCCTGCCAGCCTGACCCCCGCTGCCCCCGACAGTTGCTGGTTGAAAAGACGACCGACTCCCCGGCGGCCGAGTTCTCGCTGGTGGAAGACGTGGCGCTGCACTTCGCCTGCCTCATGGGCCGCCTGAACGAGCAGCGCCTCTTCCAGCCCGACCTGTGCGACGTGGACCTGGTGCTGGTGCCGCAGCGCAGCGTCTTCCCGGCCCACAAGGGTGTGCTGGCCGCCTACAGCCAGTTCTTCCACTCGCTCTTCACGCAGAACAAGCAGCTGCAGCGGGTGGAGCTGTCCCTGGAGGCGCTGGCACCTGGCGGCCTGCAGCAGATCCTCAACTTCATCTACACGTCCAGGCTGCTGGTCAACGCCACCAACGTGCACGAGGTGCTCAGCGCCGCCTCGCTGCTGCAGATGGCCGACATCGCCACGTCCTGCCAGGAGCTGCTGGACGCCCGCTCCCTGGGCCCACCGGGCCCCGGCAC